TGTTCTGACTTTTGCTCAACATTGGTATTGAAATTCTGTGGTGTTTTATAGATTTACTAATCTTCTAAGAATCGAGACCTGAACCAAGCCGAAAACATTAGGGAATGGTTTAATTCGTTCTTGTTAGATTCCTGATAAGATCCTGAAAGTTAAATTTTGAATAGTTTCTAAACACAAACTTTAAAAGATCCTAAGTGGTTCCTTGTATTTTCTTATCAACATCCTAGACATACTTATATTTGTTTTTCTAAAGCATTCGGAATATCTGCTCTTGAACAACAGTTCCGCTCAGGAACCTGATGAAAGTTTAGCAGAATTTCTTAGTTTCGTACCGTGACTGATCTTGTTATTTTCTTTCCAAGATCCTCGACTGATGTGGCTATCATTCGTAAGAAGATCTTGTTACAAAGATTTGCCTCAGACCTCGAGAAAAATCTGAAAAAGTCTTGACCAAATCCTTTCTCATAATCTTGAGATATTCCTATCAAGGATCTTGAGTAAATCCTGATAGGATTCTGTATTCTCAACTCTGAAAAATATCTGAGTAGGAACTTGAAGAAATCCTAAACAGGATCTTGTTTCACCTTAAATACTCTTGGAATCGGAGATTACTAGAATTCGAAGCAGGATCCTGAATAAAACTTTAAAAGATCCTTGAAATTCAGGATCCTGAGAGTTTCTTTCAGGATTTCTCAAATCGGATCTTTCTGCAGCAAAAACACAATTTTGCTCTAGCGAAGAACCTTGAGTTTCATAAGAGCGGCCTGACGCTTAGTAGCAAAATTTATCATGTTCTGTCATTATCAACGATTCAAGTATGTGCTAAAAAGATTGAAGTTTAGGCATACTCTACTTGTGAAAAGGATCTTTGCTTTATGTAGGACAGAAAAGTGACAAAACAAACAATGTCGAGATCGATCCTATACTTGCACACGAGTGAACTCTATTAAACCATAGAATCGAGTTCCATGTTCATAACACATATTCTAGGCAAAACAAGAAAACAATCTGGTTTGGAATGGGCTTATTCATCATGGACCAGATGGATCTCCGTGGTACTTTGGTGGTGGGTCAAACCTATTTTATCACTAGGTTATCGACGCACAATTGTCGATAAAGATCTCGAAGATATACCAGTCAATGATAAATGTTCCGTTTTGTTGGACAAAGTGAATTGCGATAGTACTAAATGGCCAGGAACATGGAATGTCATCAGGCAAGCATTTTTGAAAGATTATCTTCTGATCGTCGTCTTCATAGTTCCATATAGTGCGGCTCGTATTGCACAGCCATTGATCATTCGTGAAACTGTTCTCTACATTAAAGGTCAAACAAAATTGCCTACATACGCTGGGTATCTATTGGCTATTGCTATTTCCATTTGTTCGGTGCTACAAGTTATTTTAATGCATCAAATCTTCTTTCATGGTAGACGTATAGGTATGCGCGTTCGCAATTATTTATCATCCATCATCTATAAACATTTGTTGACGCTCAATACAGCATCACTACACAATACTACTGCTGCTCAAACAATCAATTTAATAGCAAATGATGCAAGCAAATTTGAAGATTTGGGTATGTTCTTCTATTATTTTTGGGCGACACCTGTTGAAGCACTTGTGATGTTTGGTCTTATTTGGAGGATCATTGATTTGCCGACACTGTTTGGTTATGCTATACTCATACTATATGTACCAATGCAACTTATATTCAGTAAACTATTCGGTCAATATCGAGCGGCAACAATGAAATATACGGACAATCGTATTCAAACGGTTCATGAAATTGTTAATGGATGTCAAATTATTAAAATGTACAATTGGGAAAAAGCAATGGAGAGACGAGTGCGTGAAGCACGACATTGTGAATTTTCAAACATTTTCAAATCGAGTTGTTTACGAGCTCTCAATATTGGTCTCAATTTCGCATCATTACCTTTAATTTCTCTAGCTACATTCGGCAGCAGTTGGCTCATGGGTCTACCATTTATATCAGAAGATATTTTTACAGTAATGTCATTTTTTGCTTTGATTCGAATGCCAATAACCGCATATTTCCCATATACTATTGAAAAACTCAGTGAGGCTCGTATTTCTGCAAAAAGAATTGATCAGTTTCTGCAATTGGAAACGTTGGTGGACAAGCGAGACAAAGAACAAAAAGAAAAGGGAGATGATGCAATCATTATGGAAAATGCATCATTTTCATGGAAAGATTATTCTTGCTTGTCTGATCTCAATGGCACCATCCAAGTTGGTACGCTGGTTGGAATTAAAGGTGCTACTGGTGCCGGCAAATCATCTTTACTAGCTGCCATTCTTGGTGAAATGAATCTTACCAATGGAAAACTACGACAATATGTCAATTCTATTTCGTACGCTCCACAATCGGCATGGATATTTGCGGATACTATTCGAGCTAATATTCTTCTTGGTAAACCAATGAACGAAGAACGTTATAAGAATGTCATAAAAGCAAGTTGTCTTGATATCGATCTACGAAATTTTGGTGAAGCCGGTGATTTAATGATGGTCGGTGATAAAGGTGTTAATTTGAGTGGAGGACAAAAAGCTAGAATATCACTTGCTCGTGCTCTTTATACTGATGCAGATTTATACTTACTCGATGATCCAATCGCTGCCGTTGATCCAAAAGTAGCAAAGAAAATTTTTGATGAATGTATTGGTCCACGTAGTCTCCTTCGTGAAAAGACTCGAATATTTGTTACACATCAAATACATTTCTTAATTGAAGCAGATCAAACTATTGTATTAAAAAATGGTCGCATTGATGAATTACATATTAAACAATCTACTCTAAATGAGCGGTCAAATGTTACGACAGAAGTAGATTCAACCGACAAGAATCAGACCGATTGGACATTGAATACTGCTGTAACTGATATAAATTCGATTGTACAAGATGAAATGTCAACTGATGGAGCAGTCAACTGGCATGTTTGGTTGGAACTGTTTACTGCACCACCTTTACGTTGGTTTGGATTTATTCTTCTAATAGTTTTAATATTTGCTGCCGAAGCTCTATTCGATGCTACAAATCGTTGGCTTGCTATTTGGTCTGAGAAAGTAGAAAAATGTGAACGTTCATCATTGGATGCTTCTATTTATCTTGGATTGACATTGGGTACATTGTTTATTGCATTACTACGCGCCTTCTACATGTTCTATATCCTATTAAGTGGAGCGACCTATTTTCATAATCGAATGTTAAAAGGTATCTTATATACTTCATTACGTTTCTTTGAAAGTAATCCCGGCGGACGAATATTAAATCGAGCAAGCAAAGATCAGCAGGTGTTAGACGAATCGTTACCTCTTACTGTGATCGATACTATACAAATGACAATGACAATTCTCGGTTCTATTGTTATTATTGGAATAATCAATCCATGGGTACTTTTAATTCTCATTCCATTGATTCCGGCATTTTGGTGGATTCGTCGATTCTTTCTACGTTCGAGTTGTCAACTCAAACGACTTGACAGTGTAACACGCAGTCCAATCTATACACTGTTCTCGTCATCATTAGATGGCCTCACTAGTATTCGTGCATTCAACGTTCAAGCTGATTTTATGGATATGTTTATGGAAAGAATCGATACAAATTCACGAGCTTACTTCCTTCTTATTGCTGCTGGACGTTGGTTCGGTTTACGACTCGATCTTATGGCATCCTTACTCACTTTGATTACTTCGATTCTTGCAGTAGCAGTGCGTGGCCAAATCGATCACTCAGCGTTAGCACTTAGTTTGACCTATTGTCTTACTATAGTAGATCTCTTTCAATGGGCTATTCGACAGTCAGCCGAAGCTGAAACTTATATGACCAGTGCTGAACGTGTTCATGAATATGGACAACTTGTTCGAGAAACTGGCAAAAAAGAACATGAAAGCAAAGGACTTATTCAACCACCAAATGATTGGCCTTCTCGTGGTATAATTGAATTTAGAAATTACACTTTTCGTTATCGACCAGAGCTTAATTCTGTGCTCAAAAATCTCAATCTACGCATTGAATCAAAAGAGAAGATTGGAGTTATCGGTCGAACAGGTATGGCTACTTGCCTTCTTTAATATAGAATAGCCAATGAATAAGATAGATCATCTTTAGGAATTGTGTAGATTAGAAAAGCGATATGATAGACTTTTTTATGGACAAAGCTAGGAATTCGTATAGTATGACATGTCAGTATTGGGATCTTAGTCTTCTACTTATCTTGACCTCAGGAAAACTGGAATTCCAAATATAGGTATTACAATTAATTATCTATGGAGCAATCAGTATACATGTCCGATACGTATAACATTTACATTAATCTAGCGCAAAAATAAAGATATTTCGAAAATATGAGCTTTGTAGCTTTAAATTACTCTACAAAATAACGATGAAGAGCCTTTCGTATTACAGCCACGAAATCCATTTTGGCTAGAATTTGACGTGACAAAATATCAGCTGACTTATTTTTGATCTTTCAAGACAATGACTTTATCTTGCTGGAAACCGAAAGACAAAAAAAAATTCTTTGATCACAAGATTTCATATGATTGAAAAACCAATCGCAATAAAATATCGTGAAGTTATTTTCGAAACGGTCAAAAAAAAACAGAATTAAAACAGTTATTCAAACATAGATTGACGTTCTCTGAAATCTTCTTGCAAGCAACCAAAACCGTTGACCACTAGCTGCTTCAATTTTACTGCATTTTCATATTGCCTTACTTCGAAGACTTTCTGTTCGTGTCCTGTGGCAAAGTATAATCCTTTTTTTATCAGCTATTTCTGTTAATTATTTTTGATAACAAACCTCATAAATTACTCTAAGATCAAATGGAAATCCGGTTTATAATTATATTAGTCTGCATTATCTTCAGAACGTACCTGCAGAATCGTATAGGACTTGTATCAAAGATGATAGAATCCTGTTAGAAAGTATTGGAATTTCGTGTTTAAAACCTCGACAATCTGATATATGTATGTTTACTGTCGAATCGATTCTAGCTATATTGATCGAAGTGTCATCAATGAAAACATGTTTCGTGAGAACTCAAACTAAATAATTTAAAGAGACAAGCTTTCCATCATTAGATCTCATGGTTCTTAGAAGGTAGCAATAGTTTCAATAAAAATATTTTTTTTTGTTTACCTATATATTAGACATTTGAGAAAGCTAGACTTTACTAGCCTATTGTAAAATAATTCAGTCTTCAAACACATATTATCTCTGGATATTAACATCAATCTTAGCTGAAGTTAACACCATATTCTAAGAATCAAGAGGCTATTCATGGACTATATTCCAGTCAAAAATTCCTTAGTTTCAGATTTTAGGAAACATCTTATCATACATTAGAAAATCCATTACAATGATCATAAATCGAGAAGTAACACCTATGGTAAAGACTTTTTATGAATGACATAAAAAAGGTCAAAAAAAAATGTCGAAAAGTTTCAAGATGGAATCATTAGAAATTTACTATTGAGTCGTAGTCTGTTGGTATTCATTACTGTCTTATGATATTCTTGGTATGTGTTCATTATACGATGCGATTATCAGAATGAGAAGAAAGATTATCATCGACAAATAAAAAAAATTAACAGAAGAATCGATTTTTCTTAAAGATTCTCTAGTAATTTAATCACTGTCAGTCGCTAGTGATAATCCATACTTTCTTATCTCGAACAAAGGCAAGCTTTTACTAATATTAAATAGTATTGTCTTAAAAAAAATAAAATGAAACAACATTGGATGCGTCAAACTGTTGGATGTGATGCCTACGTACGCATCACTCTTCTAGACGCTTTCTTGAAGACAACAGGTGGTCATTATCATCATTCATATCCAGATAATATAGAATTAAAAGGTTTTTGTATGAACTATCACACACTAACATTTTTGACATAACTATCATTGAGGTGTTTGTCGTTCGACACTTTATTTCGACCTTTTCTACATATACCCTCTTTATGAACATCTTCTGACATCAATGTGATCTCCTCAATAATCAGAGTTACACTTCAAAAGCGATGTTTCACCTGTGAATGTCTCCTCATTAGACAAAGACATCAGATTTAGGATAGGAATTCTAATTGAAAAAATATTTTCAAGGTTGAATTAAGTTTGACATTTATAAATTTCCTTAGCAGATATTTTCTTAATCAAGTTCATGAAGAAAACGAATGTCAATTTCTTGAAAATCTATTGGCTCATTATGTAACGCAATTCTATCAGTAGAAAGGCATCATTATATCCAACATTTTCAATTAAAATGGTTGAGAAATAACTAAATTGTGTCTTTGCTCATTAGAAGGCAAGTGAAACAGAAAACTAATTTAGACATAAATTGATGAATTCGGATTATCAAGATCACTATTTTGTTTAGGTGCTGGAAAATCATCAATTCTTCAGGCTCTCTTTCGACTTGTTGATCAAACGGCAATCACCGGCACTATTCTTATCGATAATATTAATATTGGTGAACTTTCGCTTGATTTTCTTCGTTCTCATCTGAGTGTTATTCCACAAGTACCGATACTCTTCTGTGGCACACTTCGATACAATCTTGATCCATTCGGACAAATCTCTGATGAGGAATGTCTTCAAGCACTTGAGGCTGTTCAACTTAAACAATTGGTTCGCAGTAATCCCAATGGACTCAATTTATTGATCGCTGAATCGGGTAGCAATTTGAGTGTTGGTGAACGTCAACTGATCTGTGTAGCACGAGCCATTCTCAAGAGAAGTCATATATTGCTCGTTGATGAAGCTACAGCAAATGTTGATCATGCGACAGATAAAATGATTCAAGAGGTTATTTCTGAAAAGTTTCGTGATCGTACCATACTGACAATTGCACATCGATTGAATACAGTAGCCAATAGCGATCGTATTCTTATGTTGGAAAAAGGAGAAGTTGTTTATTTCGATGCTCCTAATAATATCGATCTTTTTTTAATGTGATGAATAACAGACAAACTGATTCTTGTAACTGCACGTTACGCATAAGATTATTCATGAACTTTTTATCCCCGCTATGTTCATCTTTCAATGCCAATGTGTATGTAGTTTTTATTATTTGAAATGACAAAAATTTAGTAGTAAATCTTAGTTCATTTATCAATAAAGCATTGATAATTCGAAAGAACGCACTGAATCGAATAGGAAAACGCTGGCTTCCACTATGTTCAAAACATTTATCACTTATTAGGTAGGAAAGAATATCTTTCCAGGAGGTAACACTGCGGTTTCAAGGAGAATCAACAACGAGTATTTTATATCAAATTATTTATATCAAATTAAAGCACGTCAAAAATGGGATTTATCAGTAGTAAATAGTAAGGATTATGGCTTTTTTTCATTGTTCAGTTTAGAAAATTTCTTGAATCTTACACCGCATCGATGTAGAAAAATTTCTTTGATGAGATAGTTCAAACGAGAAATCATTTAAAATGATGCCTATCACAAAATAATGGATACATGGCCTGAAAACAGAAGAACAGTAATCAAAATTGAAGTTAAAAAAGATGCTATTAGTGACGGAACATAATCTTTATCGTGAAAAAACAACTCTGAAAAACCCATTGCAAATGTTTTGACAAACATGGAAAAAAATACTGAGTTATGGAAAATTCCTTTATGTTTGTTTGCGTCTTGTCTCAGTGCAACAAAGAATATCGATGGTCATCGTGCTGATTATTGACGATATTCGTCAAATCTTGAAAAAAAAACATTACATTGTAATATTCATCATTAAAAATAAATCTTTGTTTGAACTGTCTCATCAAAGAAATTTTTCTACATCGATGCGGTGTAGAATTCAAGAAATTTTCTAATGTGAACAATGAAAAAAAGCTATAATTCTTACTATTTTCTACAAATAAATGCCAGTTTTTTGACGCGCTTTAATTTGGTGGGTGGGTGTGGGTGTGGGTGTGGGTGTGGGTGTGGGTGTGGGTGGGGATGTGGGTGTGGGGATGTGGGTGCATGGGTGTGGGTGTGAATGTGGATATCTTCTCATTACACACCCCCCACCCTTGAAATCCACATAGTTCTTCTATCTTAAAATTTTCTGAATAATTTCCATCACTTATGGCATGCACACAGTTTGGTAAACAGTCAAAAAAAGGATAAAAATGTCGAACTGGATCAGTCCGACAACAAAACTTGCCTCCCCCCTTCAAGTCATGAGAAGGATCCCTTGGATCAGGTCGGGCAACCTATTTCGAGCTCTTCTGACTAACATTGATTTTATTGACTAAAAAATGTGAGGAACAAGTGCATTTCGTGAAAAAATAGTTACTCGACGTATTTATTAAAAGTATGTTTATCAATATTTGTCCTATGACAGAGATTAGAAAAGTTTATTAACGTTCATGATTTTCTGGCTCTATAATAAATATTTCAAGTATATTGATATTTCCGCGAAATTTACCAACAAAATGAATGATATGAGAGGTGTGTATATAAATTACCGTCTGTAAATGACTTCATTCCCATTTGAAAATAGTTTCATATGCACAAAAGAAAAAAACGAATGTTTCTGAAGTAAAGTGTGAGAAAAATTCATGCATTATTAAATTATACACTGAATGCTATTTTGTAAATGGACAGGTAACGTTAATTATGTCACAGTTGAATTAGAAAGTCCCGTTGAGAACATTTTACATATATTTTTCCTGATCTAGAACTGGCCCAGTCTCAATCAAGGATCGTACACAAACGGTTACATCAATAACCTCGACAGTATTTGTGCAAGCAGAAGATGATGATGATGATCCATTTTTCTATTATTTAATGCTTGCAATGCCATTACTCGCGCTTCCGTTTACATCTACGATGCACGGTGGGCAACCAGGCGGACATGAACGAAAGTATTCTTTTCCAAAGTTTAAATATTGGAATAAATACATCTAAGACTAATCTATCTTGCCTTGAAATAAAACTTTCGGAAATTGAAGAGAACTCTGGAAAACTCCATTTTTATAAATTTGTTCATAAACCGCTATCTATAGAGAACGTTAATTCTGCGACCAACTTAACGAAAATATTTAAAAAGGACAAATATCAGAACTAATAATTGCTCTATGGAATTCGTTGTGGTAAAAAAATGGTTTTGGTTGAACTCAAATTGAAAAAGAAAAAAATTGATTACCGCGCTAAAAATAGGCCCAAAAATTGACCGTGTTATATTTTGCAAGCGCTATAAAGAGTTTAAATCCGATTGATCTCAAATTTATACCGATTATTCTTCTGTATGTAATCTATCATTGGCCTTATCATAACTGCACGCTGACGAACGTAGACTGTGCTAGAGATCTTCCAAAAATCCTGGTTTCTGCCTAGGAATTCCTGTTTTTCCGATTACCATGACATTGTGGCACAAAACTAAGGTGATATTTAGAATCAGTTCGTCAAACTGCATCTACCAATGTATAGTAAAAGCCGTTTTTTGAAAAAGTTTTTTGATCTTTATTAAGGAAAAGCTTCAAACACCTAAGTCATCTCGTATTTTTCGAACGCTACAAACAGTTTTCGTCTGATTGAACCCAAGTTCTTATTAATTGTATACCTCCATGTTAGTTTATCGTCGGCTATGTGTGCCGTATCGCATCAGTTTCCGTAGACTGGATAATGGATCTCCAAAAAAACCATGATTCCGACCTAATGTTCCTTTTTTGCCCTTAAAATAGCATCTTAGCGAAAAATCAAGACGATATTCGGGATCAGCACGTAAAACTGCGCCGATTGATGTACGACAGAAAATATTTTCTAACAAAATAACTTTTTCGAAAACTTTGGCTCAGGTCGCCCCACAGGTGTTTTTAGGCAAAAAAATTGTTCTTTCAAAAAGTGGTTTATTTCGTTAAAGATTACTTTCTAAGTGATATATAACCACTTCTGAGCTATAAAAGACGATTTTCAAGCAAGAAAGTTATATGTCCGCCTGGTATGTGGAAGTTGCCCACTGTGATATAGGGCATATCTTATTTGAACAGAGATGGCTCGATTAGTTATTTGCCTACTAGTGATCAAGATAGAAAATAGTGTCTTGCAGCAAGATGGATCTATGAAAATCGTAGATATCCGACATCAGAAGAGTCAGAGATCATCACTCGGCTTCCTTCAAAGGACGCGAGATAATGATGCGTGAGCTTAAGACAACATTACATTGATCTATATCACTATAATCAAAGCGATCGATAAGTAGTTCGTTTTTTTTTTATAGTGGTTAATCAGTTTCATGCTAGATAGATGTATGATCTGTTAATAATAATTTACTGTATAACAACAGTAACTTCGTTGTTTAAAAATATTCAGAAGTTTGAATACTTCAGCATTTTTTTCGGTCAATATCCATGACTGAACCTAATGACAAGTTAGGATAATGTCAAAAATAAAATTTCCCCAATACAGTATACCTAAAAAACTGATTCTTGCGATTGACAAGGATTTCTAGCAACGTGTAACAACAATTTATTAAGATCTTTTTTGTTGTATTCGATTTTCATATACTTCTACTGTTATTTTGGATTTTTGTTTAAAAAACTTTATGTATTGGCGTATATTTTTTTGCACGTAAGCTAGTTCTTTTCTATTCAATGCATGGTTCTCCAAAGACAATTACTACGTAGTTCCTCAATCGTCATTTAGCTGTGCATTAAGCATAATTTTGATACAACAGAAACATCAGGTCAAAGAATGTCCACTACAGTCATTGGACAAGATAATCAAAATTTATGACCATAATAATCAGCAACATCTTGGTCTATTTATCATACCCAGCTTGTCTAATAGAAGAGTATACTGGGAAATAATGAACTAGAGCTGATATCCAATTCAAATAAAAAGTTCGATCATTAAATGGTCTTATCAGTAAAATTCTACACCCGTCTTTTTGGATGGTAGTATTCTTTAAATGGATAAATATATAACACATGAAATCAAAATTAAAGTGACAAATAATAGTTACTAGAACAGGCGACATAGATTGATTCTTTTTCTTTTCAAAAAAAAATATTTGTCAATCATAAATGTTTTTCATTTTTGTTTCTATTAAGTGTAGCATGATAGTTTTCTTCAAAATCCATCGATGACTGATCTTTTTGCTATTTTTTCTGATTATCTGTTTATTTTTCTAGTTGTCCTTTTATTAAATATTCGGTGCTACTATATTTTAATTTTTTTACACAAAATATTTTCTTCTTGCTTGACAAATAAACGTATTTTATACAATTCAAGTTAAATTCTTGAGATGATGAAAAGTGACGCTATTACATATAAAAGGCAGTTATATGTTTTCCAAATTATAAGAGCTTAGCTCAAATGCGTACATAATTTAGCCCTAAAATCTCACATAGCTACATCCTACAATCATCGATAGAGAAACATTGAATCCGCTGGTTCCAATAATCAACCACATAAAGATTGCCATATCGATCGAAGGACAAACTCCTGGGACAATAAAACTGATTTGCCTCTGCGCCTCTCCCATTTCCACCCACAACGGTAGTACCGTATTTTGCGCCTTTACACCAACGCATCACTCGATCATTTCTCGAGTCTGCTACATAGACGGTACCCAATGCATCAACGAATAGCCCATAAGGAAACGATAATTGTCTCAAAGAATTTCCTTTGCCACGACCACCAGCAACAATAATTCCTTTTTTCGCATATCTACTCCATTTCACCACGCGGTGATTGCCACTATCTGACACATAAATAGATTGCTGTTTATCAATAAAAAGGTATCTTGGTTTGTTTAGTTGACGTAGACTACTGCCTTTGCCGTTGCCACCTGCAACGATGGTCCCATTTTGATCTCCTATTCGATATCGTTTTACTACATGTTTCCTGTAGTCAGCGACGTAAAGTAATCCCTGATTATCCATAGCCAATCCTCGACAAGCGACGTCATTGACAAGAATTTCTGTTTTAGTGATACCATGATGGCAAGATTGTCGTATCACTCTTCGATTGCCTCGATCACAAATAATAAGACTATTTGTAGTTTTGTCCATTAAAACATCGGTAGGACCACTTAATTGATCCAATCGACTCCCTGTACGATTGCCACCGGCTACAACCTCTATGTTCTTACTACTAATGTTGCAACGAATAACACGCTCATTAGTCCAGTCAGTAAAGATTATTGTTCCATCATCATGAACAAATAAGTCTACAGGCCAATAGATTTGATCGATGTCGTTGCATTCTCTAGCATCTCCGATGATGGTCACTCCATTTTGTTTCCATTTAGCACGAACCGGAATGTTGTGAATTACTAAAGTAAATGGAAAAGTAAAATAGATAGATAGTGTCGAAAACATCATTCTTCTTCATCTTCGACATTCGGAAGAAGGAAAGCCTATCTAAATATATGAAGATAAAGAAGATCTTACTGAGAAGCTTTCACATTTACTGTATAAGATGATCTTGTTTTCTCTTTAAAAATATTGATAATCACCTGTATTATTTGTAATAAGAGAATTTGATCGTTGTGGCGGAAGACATTGAGAAGATGATTGACGTTGAATAGGTAATTGTTTTAAAGTTTCATATTCTTCAAGAGCTGTACTTACATAAAAATGCTGCATAGAAAAAGAAAAGAGAAGAGAATGAAGAATCTACCTTGACGTCGTTCTTCAGGACTGAGATTCTCGTCAATCTTATTTTCTAATAAAGAATCATGAGAGTGATATGAATATATCCAACGTCTATGTTCATTTAAAAGGTCAAATAAAAGACGATCCTCCGGCTCTGGAGGATTTAGATCAGTATTTGACTCTGTTGAATATGTTAATGTCGATTGAGTCGCTTTTGGTAATTCTTCTAATTGAAAATCATATAATTCTTTTATATCCTTCCAAGTAAAATGCCGATCTATTTGATGATCATCAATCACACTAGAACATAACAAGAAAAAAATCGTATCAATTTTTTTAATATTTGGACTTAATCTGTACCGTTTTGAAACTGATTGTTTAACAACTTGTCGTTGATAAATTTTTTCTTCCATTGTGCCGTGCGATACAAATCGATAGACGTAAACTGATTTCTTTTGACCGAAACGATATGAACGAAATAACGCTTGAGCATCGTTACTAAAGTAAAAGAAACTTTATCAATTTAAAATCGAATTGAATCTAAGCGATTAGTATACGAAATCTCACAAGAGACTTCTTTTTCAAATTAAAAATTCTATGATGATATTCACCATGGATTCCAACTTGCATCGAAAACAATAATTCGATTACTAGCAGTTAAATTAATTCCAATACCACCAGCTGTTGTTGATATAAGAAATAATCGAGCACGTGAATTCGATGGATCATTAAATGCTTCTATATAACTTTTTCTTAATATAATTTTTGTTTTACCATCGATTCTGAAATAGTCTTTTTCAGAAACCCATTGTACTGATGTAGGTATACTGCGATTATTCTTTTCTGATAAAAGAGTTTGATATTGTTTTTCATCTTGAATGTGTAAATGTTTTAGAAACTTTTCAATATAATCCAATGAATACAAACTACGTGAAAATACAAGAAGTTTATCGCCGATTTCAGCGCATTTATCAATAATTGATTTTAATAATATTATTTTTCCACTTAATTCTATATCAAATTCACTTTGATTGGGTAAACTATCTAAGTAACAAAACCAAAATTGCTTGCGCATTTTATCTAACCATGGTTTAATAGAATTTTCTTTTTCATTATCATTATAAGTTATTCCTTCTGGAGAATTTTCATTATTTTCTATATTAGTTTTGCTTGAGTCAACAGTTGTTGATGATGATCTGTTTTGCGTTGAATTATCTTTACCTATATCAATATATTCATCACTATCATTTGATGTTGAATTAGAATCAATTGTTGCTGTCGACGAAGTGGAAGTTCTATGTTTTCTTGTTTCTGATGCCAGGGATTTATATTCATCTACTTCATTTCGAATATTGTTCATTGAAAATTCATTCAATTTATTTTCCAATGGGGACTATAACCAATCAAAACAGCTCAGAATATAAAATGCTTATTAATTATTTTAAAGGTTAAAGTCTATTTGAATTGGATAAGGTAAATTAATGATCCCTGATATACTGATTATTTGAATGCTATGAGATTATGTAAGTAACGATGAAATATGAATAAAGCCATCGACACATTAGAAGACCCTGGGTCTTATACTATATCACCAAAATGAGCAATATTTCTTTCTGTCTTTATGACTCTAAATATTTTAAGCCTTTACTTTTTATCTTTATCTTATTTATTTCAGTTTCACATGAGTAAAACAAGCAAAAGCAACATCTTATAGAAGGCTAATAAGATTTAGCCGAATAAAATCATCATTCACCTGTTAATGTCATGAATTTCAATATCAGAATAGATGGAACTATCATCTGAATTCGAGTCCCGATCATCAACATTTAATGGTAGTTAATAATATTTGGCAATTAGATCATTATTCAAATGAGCAAGTAAATGTAAAAACTTGATTATTTGATAGGGCCCTTCTAATATGTCAATGATTTTATATGCTAAGAACGAGTTAAGAATCTCAATAAATGTATCGTATAATGTAAATGTCAAAATATGTAATTGCATCTACTCTGAATTAATACTTAAATCTGCTTTGATTTACCTTATTTTCTTCATCATCACTATAAACAGTTTCTAGTTCATTATTATCAATAAACATATCTTCTAATTCATTGTCATTGATTAAATCATCATCATTATCCTCGAGTCCTTTTTTCCGACGGTTAATAAAATATGGATAGAGTAAAAATGGATGTCTAAAAATAAAATGTTCACATTATTAGTTATTTCAATGTATTCATTTCCTACGTCCATATTTTTTGCAAATATTGATAATCAGCAAATAATTTTGCTGATTTAAAATCTTTCTTTAATACAGGTGAACGTTGTTTTTGAGCAACTTTTACTTGTAAGTATAGATAATATAATCTTGATTGTAAATTACTTAATCGTATATTAATGATATATTCAAATTTCGGTGGTATATATTCTTTCAGTAATAAGTGATCTTTTCGATCAACGAAACCAGTTAAAAGTTCATTCAAAACATAAGCACGTTGTTTCATTAAATAAACATCTTGTTCATTTGAATTACTATATTGACCATTTTGAATTGGATTAACGAAACGATTTGTATATTCAGCTTGATCACCAAGTAAATTTGGTTTAATAAATGATACCATACAATAACTAATGAGAAGAAAAAATAACAGAAAAACTCGATTTTTTGAAACTTACTATTCAAGAAGATTATTTTGTAATGGTGTTCCAGTTAAAACAATACGACGAGATGTTTTAATTTTTGATAAACAATTTGCAATAGATGTTTGAGCATTTTTTAAAATATGACCTTCATCGGCAACTAAACATGAAAATTCAAATGAAATATCTTTCAAAAACAATGATGTTTACATTACCAACAATATCCGGTCCTGGATCAACAAGACAATGATATGCATCATTTTGAATTTTTTTATTTTCGATTCCAACACCTTTTACTAATCGCACATACATCTGATAACCCATAATAAGAACTCCACCATTTTCATGCCACTTATTTAGATACTCGCCACGTAAATCAGGTTGAACTGTTGTTAATTGATAATGATTAATCGATGGTTCAATATCTTTCAACCAATAGTTAAATTCATTTGACCAATTTAAAGCTATAAAAAAACGAAATAGAATCATTTTTCCGAAAATCAATATTTCGAATACTTGCCAGCATTTACTGGAGAAAGAACGAGACATGTTTTTACTTTAGTTATATGACTGTAATTAAAAACAGTATGAATAAAACAAATAACTTGTAATGTTTTTCCTAAACCCATACAATGAGCTAAAATACAACCATTTGTATTTTGTTGCTTAGTTTTTATTACATCAATTGATTCATAGACATTATTCCATAGAAATTTTATTCCATCATATTGGTGTTTTTTTAGATGTGCAACTAATTTTGGTGAAACTTCAATAATAGACTTATTTGTTTTTTTATCGAATTCGAGTATTAAACAAAGATTTGGCTTTTCTGAATTATAACTTTTACTATTTGGTATAAAAGATGATTGTCTAAGTAGAATATTATTGCGTAATTTTTGTATTTTAGCTAAACGTTTTCGACGCTGATGTTCATCTTCAATAGCATATTTTGTTTTTACATTTAAATCTTTATCATGAATTATTTTCCGAATATTTTTTCGGCCAGTTTTTCGTTTAGCTAGAGAGTCTTTTTTCTTATTTTTATTTCTATTATTTCTTTTTGTTTTCTTTTGGTTTTGACTAGATGTTGCATTATTTTTGTCTTTCTTTTCAAGTTTCGACTTTTTTGAACGCTTTACTACGATTGCATTATTTTTATTTAGCTCCTCGGATGATGATGACAACAATCTTCGAATTCGTATTCGGCTTGATGAACATTTTAGGAATGTAGTAAGTGGATCTTTAGAAGTTGTTGATTTCTAGAATTTAATAAAGCAGTGAGGGTTTAAACTTGTCGCAAAGACGTAATTCTCGGTAAAATAAGAAAAAAAATATAAACGAACTCATTCAGATTTTAACTGGCCTTATGAAATACTTCAGAATAGATTTTATCTTTTTGAACAATGGAAGAAAAACAGAATCATACATACCATTTCACTATCATTGTCGCTATCATTACTAGATGATGAAAGTACGCCTCGTTGTTTACTTTTAAGTCTTGATTTCATTATGATTATTGACGTACCAGAGTCGGATGATGATCCGGTCGGATGATAGTCATCAGTGAATTGATTTTTTTCTTTGGTAGGTGATTTTGAACCTGATAAAGTCTCAGTCGATTGCCTGTATAAAAAAGAAATTTCATCGTTCAGAAGAGAAAAAATCGCTAAGAAAAGTTTTTCATACAATTTGTCTATTAAAGCTTGTTGCGCATTTGTCGTTACTAATATTTGACCAGTAGGATCTGTTGCCTGTGATAAGCATGCATTCATCATTAAATCTGAATAAGAAAACAAAATGCACCATCGTTTAAAATATTTAAAAAAAATAATATTATGCATCCAAAGAATATTAAGAATTTTTAGTAAAAACATTGGAATACGATTATTGATTCTGACTCTTTTTTCTTTTCTATCGTTTTTTGTCTACACCGCCTGACTTTCGACGGTAGGCAGTGTTTACATTCAAAAAAGTTGACACAAATGCAGAACATCGACGGATGGTTTTTGTAGCGGATTACTTCGAGTCTTTAACATTGATATGTTAAATTTGACTGTCTTGGTCATGATATTATTAATATTCCAAATGCTTTGTTTAGTTATGCGATTCAAGTGGATTCATAGAATAAACAGGATATGATTGTGATGCTTTTAACGATAGTACTTACATCTATTGAAACAAATGCACCAATGGGCGGGTTTTGATTATCCATGGTATTTGAAAATATGATTTCTAATTATTGTTTGCATCAGAATTTCGGTGTTTGAATGATCAGCCAAAATATTCTGGATGAACTGCTGAAAAACTTCTTTGGATTTTTCCAACAAACGTGCTTTTTTCGAATGACGTTCGTATTTGTGCTCTTGCGTTCTTGCGTATTTGTTTTCACCTTTATTTCTTTATTGCGAACTATACATAACAAAGCAACAGCGCATTTTTACTATCGCAAACAAAGTTATAAAGTCGACCGAAAGAAAGAACGAGAAAAGGTAACAACGATACCCATAAGTAAATAAGTAACATATTTCTCGCATAATAGGGTGTTTTAGTAAAATGGTTTGATTTATGAAAAAAAAGTCAATGATAAAGTTTTTGAAAAAATAAAGCATGGAAGAACTCGAAAAAATTTATACAGAATAGGTAAGAAATCCTCTACCGAACCGAACCGGTCATCTATCGTTACTGGTTGCAACTCTGATATATTCACTTCTGTAATTGACACACAGAGTATTTCGTTTTAACACATATCACTAAACGAATATGTTGTGAAATACTCAAATTTACTGGTAACTTTACCTATGTATTCGTGCGCACAAGTAGTATATGTAATTTCTATATTCTTTCTCACCATTTCTTTAATTATACATCGGTCACACCTGTACACATTAATTGGCATGCGTAATAGAATGTGTCAATACGTCATTGCATACATATATATGCCTATTTATTCTTACATATCGATCAGTTGACAGGTAAGGTAAGTTTGTATACTATTAAAAACACGTGCATTTTTTTATCAAGCTACAGAATTTAGAAATAAAGTGAGTTATATCTACAACTTCACAATATCGTAGTGCATTCTTGAAATCATCGAAATGATGTCTTCCCGTCTTTTCTTACTTGTTATTCTTGGTATATTATGTCATTTTGTGTCATGGGTTTATGGTCATGCTTACTTTTCTTATCCAACTCCACGTAACGTTTATTGTACTAATGCTTCATGCACTGCTAATGGTACGTTAGGACCCCAAGGACCAGTTTGGAGTTTACCGGCCAATAGTACATTAATTGCCGCAAGTCCAACAAGCCAAACAACATGTAATGGATCTGCTTTAATAGCCAATGCTCCAGTAGGTAACACTTACGATCCAGGATTTCAAGGTAAA